TTAGCTTCATCTTGCTATTCATAATTCACTTACTGGAAATCCATGAAATCAAAGATAATTGAATTTTGGGATCAACATTAAAGTAGCTGATTTAGAATGGCTGAAAATGTGCTTCTGTGGAAAGAATGAGAAAGCCCCATGCCATATAAATTTAGCATATATGATGCAAAGAATGAATGTTTCTGTGAAATAATCTATTTAAATATAGAGTAACATCTTGGATGAAATATTAGCTATTTCACATCCATTCTTTAATATGTAATTAAATAATACTTTATTGGGTGATACAGTTAATTAATAATTATCTTTAATTAGATAATTAAAGGATCAGTGGGCCAATTTTAGTGCAAAACATTTCTTGAATTGAAGAATATATGAGGAAACTTTTTTTTCCCCAAGTTAATAATAAATCTGGGTAAAGAAGCTGACGTGAAATAATGTTATTTCAGGATTGCTCCTTCAGAAGCTGTGCACATCTTTCTACTCTGGCAAAGAATTAGCTGACTGCTAAGATCAAGCTCTTTACTGGAAAATTTTCAGCTTAAAACTTAAATAAGAATCTGAAATTCTTACATCTAAAATATTGTATCTTTAGTCTGACCTATTGCAGTGTTTTAAAGATTTCAGCAAGATCATGTATAGGGGACGCGGTGGCGCACAGCCTTAATGACGCTGAAAGTTGCCGGCCAGAAATGGTCAACACTTCAGCGGTTCGAGCCCAGCCTTTGCGTAGCAGAGCGAGCTCCTGCTTCCTCCCCCAGTTCCTGTCAACAGTTCGAAAACTTACATGAGTAGATAAATGGGTACTCTCACTCTGGTGGGAGGAAAATATGCTGGAAAAAATGCTGGCGGCGCCTTGCAAAAGGAGTCAGGACCAGTTGCCGGTAGCGCTGAAGCTGCGCTTGCCTGAAAAAGGCGCGAAGCAACGGAAACCCCGCCTCCTGCACTCGCCAGCTGGGCTCTGCTCTAGGAAGGAGGCACTGGCAAACCACTTCCAAAACACCTTGCCTTGAAAACTGCAAAGGACTCATCCAAAAATCAGTCACTGCAGAGTCGGTAATGACTGAGTGCAGATTAAAAAACAAAAAAAGATCATGTATGTTAGTTGTATTAATTCTTAACATGCTATAACAATATCTAATATATTTAACCCAAGAGGAAATATTTTAGAAGGTGCAAACCATTGTTTATGCAGTCTATGATTTGATAAATTATATGATCTGACTTGATGAGACAGCAGCCATAGTTTTCTGTTGCAGTGAAAGCTACAAACATATTAACTAATTATTTCACGTGCAACAAGCTTTGTTAATTTGGATATTGGTATTTACATTTCTGATCTTAAGTAAGCTACTATCAAACTCAGACCCTATCTTCGAGAATTGTGTGTGTCACTGAAAATATTTATATCAATTTACTGCCAAACAATGTTTTTTATTTTATCTAATAAAAACATTGGACATTCTGACATTTCATGTTTCTGGAAGTAGCTAGGATGAGCATACTGAATAACATTGCAGAATTAGTTATGTAATGGCTCAGTAAAAAAAAACAACCCAAAACACAGCATTTTAAAAGCCTCCCCCCACAATTGAAAATTTTTAGAAAGAATAAAAACTTGCAGTGAAATATTTTATTTTGGAGAAATGGATGCAGATAAGACAAGATACTCATATATAGCTATTGCTTATTTCTCCAATTTATTTTTTATGAATTTGTAATAGGATAACATTTATCTAGTGTGTCAGAGCACTAGAGCTGCTACATGAGGACACATAATCCTGTATGACTCTCAAATGTCAGCAACTTTCATGGCTGCTGCTAGGTGGCATGGCCATTGCCACTAAAGAAGGAAGAATTCAGTACATTATTTGCTTGTGGGCTTGTGTATTGTTGACTTCTTATCTAGAGCCCAATGGATCTGCTCCTGACTGGGCCTCAAAGGACATGTTTTGCTTCTTTCAACTTTATTTTATTCCAGTTTGTCAAATTGACAGATTTAAGAGATCCTAGGTATTGTAGCTTTCTGGAGTTCATTATTTCCTTGTAGGAAAAAGTAAACATTTAATAGCACATTCCGTTAGTAGATTTAGTTATCTAATTAAATTATACTTTTACATTGTACAAATATGTATGAATGAACCAAGTTACTTTGGGGATGAACAGGTTCAAGCAAGACCAAGTGGCAGTGGGTTCTTGGAGCATGTGGTTCTGGGAATCCTCTACCTCTGGTCCTGAATAGGGTTGTATTGGGACTCTGAACTATTTTCCTGGACACTCGTACCTGTTTGAGGAGTAGGTGGCAGTTTGCTGGCTTGTGCACCAGTTGTACCCATTCTTGGACCTGGAGGCTCTTTGTATAGTCAGCTACACCTTGGTCGCCTTGTGGGTATAATATTGCAATGTGTTCTACGTGAGGCTCCCTTGAAGATCACTCAGAATGTGCACCTGATCCAGAATTCAGATGCACACCAGTAGTGATAAGCATGTCTTGCAATGCCAATGTATCAGGTCTACTCTGGGAGCTGCAATGGTTAGTTTCCAGGTGCAATTCAGTATTCTGGTTATACCTTTAAAGTTTTATAAGGCCTAGTTATCAGAGGGATCACCTGTCTCCTGTAGGATCTGTCCGTCCTGTTTGATCAACAGAGGAGGCTTGTTTCAGGTCCCATTGATTAAACAATGTCATCTAACATAATCCAGGAAGCAGGCGGCCTCTGTCACTGCACCTGCCTTCTGGAACGGCATCCCCCAGCAATTCATACAGCCCCCACCCTATCCCTCTTTAAACAAGACTTAAAAACCCATCTCTTCCTCCAGGCCTTGGATCAGTGAAGGTTCGAGCCCTTTGAAGTTGGGGAATGAAGTGAGCATTCTTTTTTATTTGCTTCCTCTGGACAACTCCATGCTTTCCCAATATGATACTGTTTTTTAATTGTAAAGCTACCCAGAGTCATTCTGGAGTTGGGAAGCCTAGAAACTTGATGCATAAACAAAGAGACTACATAGAATGTTCATAAAAGAGCAAAAATGAACTTAGAACAATAAAGAATAACATAAAAATATTGGATACATTTCAGATTTGCCCCACTCACCGCCAGTTTTTTCCCCCATGGTTTCAAAATGTCTGGAAATTTTCCATCTCTCTACTGAAATTCCATAATTTATGGTGTGTATGGATTATAGAAATAATCCAGAAATTGAGAGTTTTAAATGACAGAAATAATAAATTGAGGGTTCTAAATGAGGCATTTAGGATCATTTTGTGTTGAATCTAATTTCATTAGTTGTAAATCACTTTATAAGCTATAAAGTGGGGTTAATTTGCTGATTATATAATTTGATTTAAGTTTTTGAGCAGAAAACATAAACCTTGACTAAGCATTTAGGATCATAGTTCCTAAATGTAGAACTACATAACTTCAGCTGCAGTAAGGGAATGGGGGAGATACACATACACACACACGTAATTTTTAATATTAAGACGTTAAACTATAATAATTAAAGTTATACCTCTTTCAG